AGATGTTGCAGTTTCGAGACAACTCCTTGTGTAAACGTCTGGCTGTGGACCACAGAAGCGCAGTGCAAGCCAATCAGCCCAGATCCATCCCCTTAATAGGGCTTTTTGTCCCTTAACTGGTCTCCTCTTTGTATAAGGGCAAAGAAGACGGTGCCGAAGAAAGCAAGGGAGCCGCTGAAAAGTCCTGCGATTTCGGGGCGCCAGATATCTCTGTTTGTTTCATTTTTTTAAGGAACGAGGAATAAATAGAACTTAAACACTATTGCTAGACAAAGGAAATGGCCACTACTAGTCTCCGAGATTGCTAAACAGCGTGGTGAGGATCGCTGCTGGATATGTCCTAGATGTGACACGACGCTGAGGGGAGGGGAGGGACAAAGGGGTGATCTTATACCCTAGACAGCTGCCGCGTGTGTGTGTGTGTGTGCGCGCGCGCGTGTTGCTCCAGAATAGTCCCCTTGGTGTCGTTTGATAAGCGTAACCAGAATAACGATAGATCGATGCCTCTAAAGTCATAAAAAAGAAAAATAAATAAAAACACAGACTTGGCTGGGAACTACAAGAGAAGGAAAAAACGTGCTGGGGTGGGCGTTGTAAGGAAAGAAAGAAACACTCTAAACGGCGAAGAGGCTGGCAAACGGTGACGAAAACAAGATCTCCGGTACAACTCTCTCTCTCTCTCTCTCTCTCTCTCACACACACACACACACGTACCAAAGACCACACTGGGGTGGGTTTAAAGAGACACCCCCCAACAGTGACAAGCCCCCTTTTCGCTTGTCTTTCGCACCGCTAAAACCAGTCAAGAAGCGGGAAGGGAAGGGGAGAGGGTGGAACTCCTCCGAATCGCGCTCCGAGGCTCGGCTCATTGTTCGCTTCTTTTCGCCAGCGCGCGCGAGAGAGCCAGCAAGCATGTGGGCGTGTGTGTGTGTGTGTGTGTTTTGTTAATGGGGAAGCCTCTCCGTGCAGCTCTTCCCAGCCGCTCTTTCTTGCCTTGCGGCTCACCCAACCCACCCCTGCGCTACGAGCTTAGTTGATGCAGCCCGCTGCATTGTGTAAGACGCGACCTGTTATGGCCACCACTACTTCCGGGTTCCAGCATTCTGGTCCAAATCCACCTCTCCGCCTGTGTGCAACACACACTTTACACACGCGCAGGGGACTTGCAGCAGGCAGCATCGATCGTGGCTCCTTTAAGGCAAACTCAGACAGCCTTTTTTTTTTTTTTAACCTTCTTCCTCTAGGCTTCTCCAGTTGCACGGAGGGAAGAGAGAAAATCTGATTAGGAATTAGGACTGAATCAAGCGAGAGAGAAAGAGAAAGGGGGAGAGGAGGAGGAGGAGGAGGAAAAAAAAAGGAAGAAAGGAAGCTTTTAGACCTCTTATGCTTTTGATGTTAACATTTGAGGTGTCCTGACCAGTTGGAAGCACACACAGCGGAGTCTCATCATTCATTCACCACCTTGACAAGCTCGCCTTTGATTGACAGCTGGAGTGGCAAAAAGTCATGCGAGTTGGTAGTTGGGTTTGAGAGACACTTTTTTTAAAAAAACAAAACAAAACAAAACAAAAACTGATTTGGGGGTAAGGATATTTCCTTTCTCCCCATCGCTGTCTTGGAAACCAGAAGGGAAGAGTGTAAGAGACGCAGGAGGGAGAGAAAGGAAGAAAAGAAGAAAGGAGAAGAGAGAGAGCGCGCTTCTCTCACCCCCCCTTTTTTTTTAATGCTGAATGCTCGTGCCGCTTCTCTGAGGTCCATCTGGCTGAAGACTCTCCTGATCGGCTGCTCAAGCGACTGGCGACTTTAAAGGATTCTCCTTTATTCCTTTTATTTTGGGGGTGGGTGGGTGGGAGGGGGAGCGCGTTTTGTTTCTTTTCACACTGGCCCTAAAGAGGATATATTAGAAGTTGAAAAGGAAGGGTGAGAAGCAGGCCGATGGCGCAAAGGGTACGTATTTTTTAATCATAATTTCCGAGTAACATGTTATTAGTAAAGTGAATCTGAGAGACGTTGCGGGGCCGGAGGGAGAGTTTTGCATTTTCTGAAATGCACGGGGGAAGGTAAATTAAGATATTTTATAAAGTATAGCACTGTTTTGAGAGATTCATATATTTTAATGACTGTATGGTTCAGTTGGGGAGACCTAGGGTAGATTCTTCCTTAAAGATAGGTGTATATTCAGAATTCCTTGGTCCTGTTAATTCATATCACTTGATCGTTTAGTGGAAAGGAACGCTGCCTAAACGCAGCCTTGAAACATAACTTAAGTCCTTTTAATATTGCTTTCAGTTTAGGATTCTAAATTTGTCTTTGGCCTTTTCAGATATGCTAATAATATCTTCCCAAATAATAAATAACTTTTTAAACTATTGTAAGTATAAATATGTGTTGGGGGTTTATTTAGAGAAGTCCATGGACCATAGTGAAGATGTTGTTTTGAACGTATTTCCACAATTATGACGACAGACACAATTATGCACATGTGTATTTAGAGCTACTATTTATTATTTAATTCTTTGATATGAAACTTCACCAGAATGAAGTTTCCTGAACTACAAAACAACTGTGATTTTTCAAGGATAGTAGAGCCAAATATTTATTTAGAAGGGAATGCAACTTTTAAATAATTTACTGGCACTATTTTGGCAATATCTCTTCCATAAAGTTACTCCATTGTTTATCTTGCATTTAGTTTTACAGCTCAAGTAGTGTCAAGACCTTTTCTTATATTTGTCCTTAAGCAATTGAAATGGCAATGTGTGATATTCCTGTTCCCCCGGCGCCCCCCTCTCATATACACATCCTTTCACCTGAGGAATTCTAACATTTGGCTTCTGCTACTAAAGAGGGAAAGTATTTTAAGTTTAGTTCCCCACAGCAGAAGCAAGGGCAGGCAGCAAATGAAATAGGGACAGTACTCTGTAGCATATTAAAGAAAATACACTGCCTCTTCCTTGAGAAAATACATGGCCTTAGAACTGTCCCAAATATATTTGAAGTCTGATATTTGTACATGTGACTTCTTAACAATAGGAAAGTTAAATTGAAAACAGAAGGACTGAAAAGAACCCAGCTTTCCAGCTATTCTCTATTTATCAATTATGCAAAAAAAAAACAAAAAACAAAAACAACCCTCCAACCTAACTTTTGTTTTCTTATCCTTTCCCCACCAAAACAAAAACAAAAAAAAAAAACCCAGAAAGGAAAGAATCCCAAAGAAATTTCCCCGAGAGTCATTCTAAATGGAGCTTTCTATTTTTGTGCATCATACCTGAGAGTATCTTTGCAAACATCAGGAAAGGTCTTCCACTTGGGGCTGCTTGCATGCCCAACTGATGCCCACAGGGAAATCTCTTAAAAATAAAGGAGGACTGTCTTAATGCACGTGTCAATAGGTGTCCTCATTTTAACTTCTGCTGGGGAAGCCTATTGAAGGAGGCAGCTTTTCAGCAAGCATTTATGATGAATTGGACCCCAAAGCAGCCGGTCTACCATCCGCCTGTTAACTTTTTCCTTTCCACAAGGTTGTTGTGCCAGGATCCCAGAAGGGACATGCTTGTGAAGGCCTGCTGGAAAATTAATTGGCATCTGGATCAAAAAAGGGAGCAAGAACCTCTTTGAGTTCACACCTAGAGTCAGGCCTTTTCCTGTTGCCTGGTTTGGTGCCATCTTCCCTAACTTACAAGGCATTCTTCTGAACTCAACTCCCTGGCACGCAGAGTTGCTTCCTCTCTTCTCCCCACTCCTGCATAAACTGGCATTCCTTTTGACCCTTTTCTTTTCTTTTCCCTCCTGTTTATTATGCAGTACGACGATTTACCCCATTACGGTGGGATGGATGGAGTGGGGATTCCGAGCACCATGTATGGGGACCCCCATGCCGCCAGATCCATGCAGCCTGTCCACCACCTGAACCATGGTCCTCCGCTTCACTCCCACCAATACCCGCACACAGCTCACACCAACGCCATGCCCCCCAGCATGGGGTCCTCTGTCAATGACGCTTTAAAGAGAGATAAAGATGCCATTTATGGGTAGGTACAGTTAGCATCAGGTTTATTCACCAGAAAATGTGCCTGCCTCCCCCCCCCCCATTTATTTATTTACCCTTCCCTACCCAGTGATCAGGGCCAAATGGAGCTCATTGCCCACTGGAGAGCCTAGTCTCAAATGGGGAAAGCTGTAGAATGGGGGTGAATGTGCCATGGTTGGGTTCTCTTTACTGGGGTGCCCTGCTCTTGCCAACTTCTCTTGGACCTGAAATAAAAATTCCCCCAGTTCAAGAAATTAATTGTTTTGGGAAGAAAATGCAAGGGCTTGTGCCACTTTGCAAAATTTAGACTGCCTCCCCTCCCCTGAAGATCTGAGGTGTATTGTCCAAAAAGAAAGAAAGAAAGACCCTTCTCCCCATTTATTTTTTAGCAACTTCAAAATGTATGTGGGAGGCGGGGTTGAAACTATCCTTCGGTTATTTTGGCCACAACTTTTTGGAATAAGCCACAAAACCTTGTGAAAAGTCTAGAGAGGGAAGGGAGAGGGAGAGGGGGAGGGGGGGGGGGAAGGAAGGAGGGAAGGAAGGAAGGAAGGAAGGAAGGAAGGAA